AGCGTACATGTGTGTTTCTTGGTATGCATGCAGTGCAACCACAATTATCTGAAGGACCCAGAACACCTGGAACTCGTGGGTCTTGTCTACAAAGGGTGCTCAGGAAAATTAGTCTGAATTCACTTTAAATTCACACTTTTAGTTGACTAATTAAACTGCATTAAACCCCTGTGTGGACACACTCATTCAGAATTAAAGTGGCCTTAATTTGATTTATTTTAAAGTGAATTAAACTAAATCGCATTCAGTAAGATAATTTGGTCTTTCCTGTCAATGTCACTTCCTGAAAGGGCGTGGAATGCTGGCAGTGCAGTGGATTTTAATGGTCTGAGTGATAGGAACATATCTCTGAGGGATACAAAATGCTTCTGCTCTCCAGCAGCAGGCACAAAAACAGAATCTTGTGGAAGACGTGGGTAGCATCTCATAGTGAACACTAGAACATCTGTGTCTTGTGCGAAAATCCAGAGTCAAGTAGCACCAATGCTCTGCGGCAGCTGTTCTCAAACTTTGGGTCGGGACCCTAAAGTGGGTCGCAACCCAGTTTTAATGGGGTCACCAGGGCTGGCGTTAGATTTGCTGGGGCCCAGGGCTGAAGCCAAAGCACCCGAGGGCTTCGGCCCTGGATGGCAGGGCTCAGGTTACAGGCCCCCCACCTGGGGCTGAAGCCCTGGGGTTTCAACTCTGGTCCCCCCACCCGGGGCAAGGAGATTTGGGCTTTGGCTCCTCCCGCCCAAGGCACTGAGGCTTGGGATTCGGCTTTGGCCCTCCTGGGCAGGGCTGAGGCAGGCTCAGGCTTTGGTTCCCCCATCCCGGGGTCATGTAGTAATTTTTGTTGCCAGAAGGAGGTCACAGTGCAATGAAGTTTGAGAACCCTTGCTCTGCGGCATTGATGGCATGCAAAAAATTTTAGTATCAGCCTCCTCGTGGGAACTATGAAGAAACTTCACTGAACAGCGCAAGGCAGCAACTTCATTACGCCGTACAACAACAAAATTCTTCGAGCAATTCTTCACATGCTGGAGCATTTTTTCCTGCAAGGTATGCAGTTCACTTGTCCTTCATGCGAGTATGAGACAGTAGTTTCTTTGTTGTGCCATTGGAGATGTTCATGGAATCAATGATTTTGTATTGGACATGTGCAATATCATGGAGTCTCTTCTTTCTGGTAATATTTTTAATTGATTTCTCTGCATATGCGTCAAGCATGAGGTAGACTTTGTCATAGTTCAGTATTTTCTCTCTAACCTCATAATGAAGTGATCCGCCAAATCTTGGCAGGTATTAGCAGTTTCTTGTTTATTGAGAGCTTGTACCTCAACCATAGCATCTATGATAGCTATACTGAAAGGCCTCTACTGGCATAAGGTATCGATCATATTTGTCATAGGTGCTGGCTTAGAAATACCATACAAGATGTATATTAGTTTGCCTTTCGTCTGGCACATATGCATTGTTCTGGTGCATTTGAATATCGATCGTGGTACCATGGAGAACTGGTACATTCCCACAGTCTCACATACATCAGCATCATGCTGAGACCTGAACGAGACCAAGAGATGAGCAAACAATGAACTGTCTGCGATTCGCTCTATAATTGTCCGTGTCACCTTCCCTCAGACTCTTACTCTTCTTTGCATTCAAGCACAGGTTTACTCTGTTCTTCATGACTGGAGCCTATAGATTGACAGAGCCTTGGATAATTCTTTGGGTCCTGAAGGCTTCATACAAGTCATGACCCAAGTATCCATTCAATAGAATCTTTAGCTATGTCATCACCGAAGACTGCTTTCATCATGATACTAATGTGCTCTGGTCCATCATATGTGAATGGGTTGCCAGTGCCAGTAAGCTCATCCTGTAGCTTTAAAATTGCTCCTTGGCATTTAACAACATCTAATTAGCTTAGATCAGTGGTCCCCAACCTTTTTCGTCTGGCAGGTGCCAGATGATGAGCCACGGAGGACCGTGGCGGCGGACGAGCATCTGCCGAAATGCCGCCGACAAGCGGCAACGTCAATAGGGGTCACCGCCGAAATGCCGCCAACAAGCAGCGTCATCCAGAGGCGTCGCCGCCGAAAATCGGCGGCATTTTGGCGGCGACACCTCTGGATGACACTGCTTGTTGGCGGCATTTCGGCGTATTCCTCCGCCGGCCAGTATGCGAGCGCACTTAGACGCCCCAGCGGGCGCCATGGCACCTGCGGGCACCACATTGGGGACCCCTGGCTTAGATGGTGCTTGGTTATTTTTGGGGAATTCATCCCAGCCATCCTTCATGTTTTGTTTGAAATTCGATGGAGTTCTCAGGTTGTCAGGAAAAACCAGGAAACAACATTTGGATTCTGTGTTATGCCCAGCAAACCCCAATGACTTTCATTGCTGTTTGGGGGTTTCTAGGGCTTCATCTGAACCAAGTGCACAGAAGGGACCTGTGGCGACCTTTTAACAATCCATATTTCCTTTTCAGAATTCCTCCCATATGTCAGGGTCAGACTTTTCTACACCTCTTATTTGAGTGAGGTAAATCTAAAGCAAAAAAGAATTTCACAAAGTCGTCCAGTGCTGCAAGGTGCAGATTCCAATTAGCAGTCATGATGGATCGAATAAAGAGCAGCAAAGACTCAAACAGCTTAATCTATCACTGCACCATCCTGAAAGTTGGCTTTGTCGTCAATTCAACCTTATGGAATTGCTTGATCCGTTCTGTGACATTGCTACTGTCCATCATGAGCAAGAGAGCAGAATGTACACGGAATGTGTGGAACTGGCTTTTGGGAAATGACTTCAAACACACGAGTATTCGCAGGTAGCATTTTGAATGGCAGTGAGTGTTTGGGTCTGTGCTTCTATAATGCATCACAACTTTTGCCCTGAAAGAATTTCGTTCACAGTACTGTCACTGTGCAAAATCCCCCAGATTTAAGGAACACTCGAAGCACTCTTTCTATTTATAGTAATCTGTAACATTAAAAATATTAATCCGGTATCGTGTTCTGAATATTAACTGATAACATAGTACTGTCAATCAAGGGCCACAATTTAACTTTGCGAGGGCTGCATGTTTGACATGCCTGTGTTAAAGTGTAATACAAATAGATTTTTGAGCATTTTCCTGAATATATATCTACATAATTGTTCCAGGTTTGCATGTATGGTACCATTGTGTTCATAAGAGAAAGGGCTTTTGCTTGACCCCTTTCCAGACAACATTTGTATTACCAAAATTTCCACCAACCGGAGGAGCTGGAGCTGGGAACCAGGGGGCAACGAGTGCCCCCTCCCACGCCACTTAGGGTGACACCATTGAAATGATGATTCTGTGTATTTTTACAAATCAAGTGACAGCTCCCTTACCTTTCTATGATTAACTTGCCCACAGAATTACACATGTTCCTAGACTGGAGGGCAAAGGACTGGTTTTTGTTTGGCTTTCACCTTGGGGCGGATTTTCCAGTTTGGCTGGAGGGCAACATTATCTTCAGCTGGAGAAGAGCGCTACGTGGAGAGCGAAGTAAACCACCCAGCTGAGAGGTAGAGAAACTGAGGCAGCAATTGCATCATTACAGGATGAGGCAACAGCTTCATGGCAATGATGATGACTTCCTTGCATTTTCAAAAACAAAGTAATACCCTCTTTTAAAAGGCAAGTTGTTATTTTCTGGTCACTCTTCATATGCCAGCAAATTGTCATCTGCCATGGTTATAATAATAATAATTAATGGAGATATCCTATCTCCTAGAACTGGAAGGGACCTTGAAAGGTCATCGAGTCCAGCCCCTTGCCTTCACTAGCAGGACCAAGTACTGATTTTGCCCCAGATCCCTAAGTGGCCCCCTCAAGGATTGAACTCCCAACCCTGGGTTTAACAGGCCAATGCTCAAACCGTTAGTTGCTTGACAAAAGAAGGAGGACGATAGAAAGAGAATTCAACAGCCTGAAGGGCTATTTGCAACTTATGCATGTAGTAAGGTAGAAAAGCCACCATGTGAAGTAACCTTTTGGGAAAGAAGTGTGCTGTAAGTGTGAAGACTGGGAGACAGGGCTCCTAGGTTCTATTATGAGCCCTGCCACTGAATTGCTCCTTGTACAAGATACATGGGCATGGATTGTCCCCTCACACCTATTTTACACCGTGGTAACTTAATTCACTTCAAAGGAGTTACTGCTGATTTACACTGGTGTGAGAATGAGGAGAAATGGACCTTTAGTTTCTCTGGGTTGTATCATGCCAGACACTTTTTTACGTTGAACTCCCCATTAATTTCAATGGAGAGTTCTGCTTAAATAACAAGATATGGGCCTCTGTGACTCCATTTTTCCATCTGTAAAATGGGGATGATTCATTTCCTTCAGGGGTAATGAGTCTGAATTAATATTTAATATTTTCATGTTAAAGTTAAAGTCCAAGAAAAAGATGGGTACAACTGGAGCCAAATTTGATCATGATAAGTTAAAAGATAGCTCTTTGAGGGAAGCATGCCGGGTGTTGCTTGGAGGGCATTTCTGGCTATTAATTTGTGACGATGAAGAAATCTACTACAATCCAGATGGGAAATAGTCAGGGAAGTGATACAAAACAAAGGAAGTTAGAAGGCGTAACCAAACAAGAAAAAGCTGGATAAACAGTGAAACAAGAATGTTACAGGAAAGCGTAAACAAGCTAAAACGGCCGGGAAAGCAGAAGAAGTAAAAGCATTCTGCAAAGTGGTGACCAAATCACAAGGATTATACAAGCAAAAATGTTGGAAAAAAGACAGTTAATAACTAGAAGAGCTGTCAAGAAAACAAGATATGAAAACAACGTATAAAAAGGTCACGTTGGGTGGAAACACAATCAGGCCAACAACGCAAGTGATAAGAGAGGCTACTAGTGAACTGACAACAAATGCTGAAGAGATGCTGGAAGTATGGGAGGAACATTATGGCAAAGTGCTGAATCCATCCAGCTGCAAGCGTTCTAGACAGGCTAGATGCACAGGGCAGACAGCATGGCAGAATGGATATCACCGCGGAGCCGCCCTCAGAAGAAGAAATAGAAAGACCAGTGAATCAGTTAAAAAATGGAAAAGCTGCAGGAATAGACCATATGACAGCTGAGCTGCTGAAAACTAGTGGGACAAGTGTTATCAAAGCATTGGAAAAAATATACAAGAAGGTCTCGGAGCAATAGGAGGTACCAGATGACTAGCTAAAGACACTAGTTGTACCAATCTTGAAGAAAGGAGATGCAGACGATCCCAATAATTACAGCAGTATAAACGTACTGTCAGAATTGAGAAAAATTATGATGAAAGTAATTAACAGATTAAGGCCAATTTTAGAGGAAGTAGGAGGTGAGGAACAGTGCAGCTTTAGGCTGAAGTTGCATTGATTAGGTATTCACACTTTGACAGGGGATGGAAAAAATAGTGACAATAGGAATTCAAGAGACTTGCTGTTTTTTCATTGACTGCATGAATGCATTTGATTTGGTTTGGAGGGAAGCATTATGGAAAGTAAAGTAAACTAAGGTCAGATTTGACAAAGCCCTGGCTGGGATGATTTAGTTGGGGATTGGTCCTGCTTTGAGCAGGGGGTTGGACTAGATGACCTCCTCAGGTCCCTTCCAACCCTGATATTCTATGATTCTATAAGTAGCAAAATCTTACGGCATTCCAGATAAGATAATTACAATTATAAAAGCTATGTATGAAGACTTCAACAGTGCCATAAGGAATGGTGAAAAACTAAGCAACTGGTCCAGGTAAAAGTTTGGGGTAAGACAAAGGGGCACGGAATCACAATCATTGTGTTAAACTGAACATTAAGAATGTTAGATGAGTTGGAGGGTGTGACATTGGATGTCCCAGAGTTAAATTCCTTATCATCGTTAACTCAAAGATGTCATCGTTCAATGGCCAGACACCTTTGAGTTAATGATAATACTCTTCGCTATTTTGGAAAATTGGTATAGTCTACTTGGACTTACCATAAATGCCAAGAAGACAAAGTTGTTGCATCTTGGAAAAGGGACAATAGGTTAAGTGTTGAAATGCAGCAGCAGTGAAGTCGGAGAACAAGTAAAATCTTGTGTACCTAGGAAGCTTGATCAGTGCTGACAGTTCCATTAAGCGTGAAGTTAAAAGGAGCTATTCCTTAACTACGAGTGCTGCTCAGAAATTAACAAAATTATGCACTTATAAAAAATATTGTGTTTGATACCAAAGTGAAAATGTATCAAACCAGTGTCCTAAGGATATCACTCTATGGTCTGGAAGCAGCTGCGTTAAATAAAACAGACTTCAGAAGGCTGGAGGCAGTAGAGATGAGAGTTCTTCGAAAGATGGCAGATGTAAAATGGAACAATTTTGATATAAATGAAGAAGTTAGAAGGAGAGTAGGATGTGAAATCCGGGAACAGGATTGGCTACAATCAAAAAGATTGCGATGGTGGGGACACTGCAAAAGTCAAAAAGGTGATTTGATGCCAAAGACAATAATGCAAATGCAACCAAGGTCAGATTGATCTAGAGGCCAACTACCAACTTGATGGTGGGACATTTGTACTCGGGGATATGACCAGGCTGGGCTTAATGGAGGAACAAGCCATGGAGAGGAATGAATGGTGAAGCGATACTGCTCTCCCTGTATCTGCAAAGATTCTCTGGGATATGAGAGAGAGAGATTAAAGGTGCTCCCTTGCTGACTGGTGCTTGGACACTTTGGTGTTAAGAGCCCTATAGTCTGCAGACTCTTGTTTGTGCAAGCAGCCTTTTTTCAGAAGAGTAACCCCATTAGCTTTAATGGGACTAGTTGCATAAGTAAAGAATACAGACCTTTGCAGAATGTAACTCAGTTCTGAACTCCCGAGTTTTTAAAGACGTTTTACTCTGGCAAAAAGATCATTGGATCAATCTTGAGAGTTTTACCCAGAGTTTACTCATTAAAAACAATGAGTAAGGACTGAATAAACATTAAGTAAAAGCTGAGTAAGATCCTCTAGATTTGGCCCATTGATTTCAAGGGCAGTTTGGGATGAATAAGGACAAGGATTCAAGATGTGGCCCCTCATTATGTGTTTGTAAGAATACATTACATCTCCCTATTGTAAACTTTGTCTTTGTATTTTACAAAAAAAATCAGAAACACTCCTAGCATTCTCAAAGCTGAACTTCTGATATTCTGATGCTTCACTAAGTATAAATTCTAAATATAGTATGTTGAATAACTAGTATCCTATCATATTATCAGTTTGGCACATGGACTTGTTGTTCATTAAAAATCTAAATAGTGATGCAAGCTAACTTATACCTCTTGCTAAAAAAAGATGTATAGAATGTCATGTTGACATGGGCATTGCCACAAGATACGCCAACATTCTCAAGGCAATTACAGGTGAGTAAGCCAATGTTGCTCTCACAAGTGCAGTTCCATTAAGATAGTCTCCATTCCTCTGTTTATAAATATGAATGTTTTATTGATGCAGAGTTAGATCAAACATCTGCCACTACATTACTTTCTCCCACCCCCCGCTGACATTTCATGTCATTTCATGACATATTGCAGTTCTCCTTTTGAATAGCAGACTTTTCATCTGCTGGACAGCAGAAACATGCCATAGGTGATGTAGGTTAGCAGAATTTATCACATTAAAGAGCTCTGTGAATTGCTGCAAATGGAAAAAAAATGTACCTTATGCATGTCAGACATACAGCAAAATATGTTTTACTTTTACCAGTGAGTGCTGTATTTTTCGTGCCCACGGGGTAGCAGGAAAAGAGGGCACAACATTCTTGGCCGCCTTAGGGAAATGCCCATTTGTTGCTAACATTATTTCAACCTCAGTGGTGATAGCAACTGATGTAGAGGCATCAGAGATATAGACCCTGTTCCAAGGAACCTACAAAGCAAGATGCTGAGCACCTGCCTGCCAGCTGCCGAGTGCCTTCAACTCACAGTGAAATCAGTGGGCCAAAGCTAGAAGCCCTTGCTCTGGTTTTACTCAGCACAACTGCCATAGATGGAGTAGAAAGAGAGTATAGTCTTTAGGGAGTTGCGGGAACTCGGCTTGTTGAAGGAGATGCTCAGCAACATGTGGGATCCATCCTTAAATAAGGAACTTCCAATGTAAATACTAACGTGGCAAATTGTGAGGTGCTTTTTCAGTTTTCACCCACTGAAGCCAAAGAACAGTCTTCCAAGTTGGGATTTCAGGGTTCAGCACAATAATAATAGGAAATTCCTGAAATTTTGGTTAACTCACTGAAATGCCACTTCTGTATCCAGAATGCAGTCTGCTCTCCAGGCTGTGGTAGTTACTTCTCTTATGGTGTAGTGCAGTGGTTCCCAAAGTGGGGTTCGCGAACCCCTGGGGGTTCGCAGGACGTTTCAGGGGGTTCGCAAGAAAAATTTCATTAATGGTGGCCAGAGGACTCTGCTGGGACCCAGTTGCAGGGCAGACAGCCCGAGCCCCAGGGAGAGCGGGGCCGGACAGTTTGAGTTGGCAGCCCGAGCCCTCCCCTGTCAGCGGGGGAGCCGGCAGCCCGAGCCCCAGCCCGAGCCCCAGGAATTTGCCAAATCTCATCTAAAGCCAGAACCACAGCCCTCCTTGTTACCACCAGCCACAACCTCACCCGAAACTAGAGGTGGGTGAAAAATACCAAGCATTTTTCACAGAAAGTTTTGAATTTTGTTCACATTTTTCAAAATTCCCCAAGAAAAATTTACAAAAAACTGAAATGGAAAGTGATCCATTTTCAGAAACTGTTTTCATGAAACATTTTTCTGATTTTTGAAAGCCAAAAATGAATTTATTTTTATTCGAAACCATTTTTTTTAAACAAAAGCCAAAAAAACATTTTACAGAAACATTTTTGGTTTCTGGTTTTTCTATGTTCGTTAAAAAAAGTTTCAATTAAAAATATTTTTCAGAGGTTCATAGATTCTGGGGCCCGGCAATTGGGGCATCCATCACACTGAGGAAATTTAAACTTAAATCCCTGAAAATATTCATTTTTAGGAGGGGGTTCACGAGATTTCACAATTTAGTGAAAGGGGTTCGCGGGCTGTTAAAGTTTGGGAACCACTGGTGTAGTGGATAGAGCAGTGGGCGGGGACTCAAGAGATTTAGGTTCTAGTCCCACTTCTGCCTGACTGGGGGCAAGTCATTTCACCACTTTGTGCTTCAGTTTCCCAAAATATAAGATGGGGATAATGCTGACCTCCTTTGTAAAGAGTGTTGGCAACTACTGATGAAAGGTGCCATAGATGAGCTGGGTTTTATTAATTCTGCACGTGTGCCACGAGTGGGACTTCCACAGACATCTCTGAGGAAAATCCAAAGGTCTTGCAAGTGCAGAATATAGACTAGAGAGAAAAACTGTAAAGATAGCCACACTACGAGTCAGAGAGAGAAACTTTATGTACAGTATATGAGATCTATAACACAGACCCACAAGTGGTAGGCTCTCTATTATAGTTCACTGGAAAAATATAGTAAAAACTATACAGTGCTGGTTCCTATATCTATCGTCCTCTCTTGTCCTTCCTCCTTGGGAGAAGGTGGGAGGAGTGACACGCACACAAGACATTTTTTACCATATTTATTTTTAGTGAACAATATTTAATGGAATCCTTTAACTTAATGTGATGATCTTGTTGCTATAAGTCATGCCAAGAACCAAACTTCTCTCGGGACTTTTCTGACCAGTCGGAAAGGAGCATTTTGTTGTTTTGGGCCCATGGATATTTTATTGCATGGAAAGTGCAGCAGCTAAATGCCTAGCCCATACACATGCATTATGCATTGTGGCTGCTTGGCAACCAGAGGGAGTTTTGCTGGCATGTGGGAGAGACCTGAAGGAGTCAAGTGCAGCATTAGTGTAAATTTCTAGTGGCTTAGAGGGAAGCTCATTACTGAACTGGCTTGTGCATCTTATTCATTTACAGTAACACTTTAAATATTTAATCAGTCTCTCCTCCTTTCTTGTCATGGCCATTTTTCCTCAATTGATCTTTTCTGAGGGGCGGGGCCGGGAGGTGGGGCAGCTGGAATGTGTTCATGGCAGCGGAATTCCATCCGATAGAGTAGGCCACTGTGAAATTAAATAAGGCTTTGTATAGTACCTTTCATTCCAAGCTCTCAGTGTGTTTCACAAGCACTAACTAGTTAAAGGTGAACTGCAAAACTTTTGCTAAAAATGCACAGCTTCTTTAAGGTCCCAAAAGAGCCAGCGAAAAAGAGGAGATTCTGTGGCTGCTGCTTAAAAATTATTGCTGTGGATTAAACAGGATTACCCCCTTCTTAAAATCCCAAACACTCTGAATTGCAGACTACCAGGGTTCTCTGCCAAAGTGAGTGGCAGAATGAGCACCATAAATGGAGTAAATAGGAATTTAGCATGGACAAGGTCATTCAGTCTGGCAGAGAAACTGGGTTGTCTGCATTTCAGATTGTTCAGCAATCTAAGGAGATGTTCCCAAGTGGTGGTACACCAAGGCACTCATTATGTTGAACAATGTCCATATGTTACCTCTCTTACACCTTACAGTGTCTGTATCAGATAGGTACAGTAAGTACCAGCGTCCCCATTTTACAAATGGATAAACTGAGGCACAGAGGAAATAGGAGCCTGAGCCAAACTCCCATTGCAGTCAATTGACAAATTCCGATTGACTTCAGTAGGATTTGAGTCAGCTGTGAGTGCACAATTTTGCACAGCAATCCAATAGCAGAGGCAGTTTTATTGATTTATATTTTTTAAATTGGGATGTTGACTAATCAGAATTAGACACAGATTTTGTGCTATGCAACTGATTGGTTTTTTTTGTTTGTTTGCATAATCTAAATCACCTGTTAGAGCTATATGCGCATACTGTGAGTTGAAAATGACTCAAACTTGGTAATCAGTGATATTTTGTGACAAGGAGAGTTGTTTGGATGTTGGCTCTATAGATGACATTTCCCCTCTGTTAGCACCAGAAAATTCCTGACCCAGCTCCACCAAGAAAACCTACCCAAATGTTCAATTAAGCAGGTGTGTCAAACTCAACACATATTGTATTTCTTAAAAAAACAACAACGAGGAGTCCGCTGGCACCTTAAAGACTAACCACTGGACTCCTTGTTGTTTTTGTGGATACAGACTAACATGGCTACCCCTGATAATTGTATTTCTTAGTTAGAGTTCAGGTTAGAATAAAAGTTGGGTTTACATAGCCTCCGTCAGACCCAAGGTATCTCAGAGTTCTTTGCAAAGAGACAGATGAAATACTAGTCGTACATTGTATGGAGAAGAAAAACAGTGATGGTAATTTTTTTTTTTTTAATTATCAAAGTTGTAACTCCGTGTCATGCCATGGATTTCTAAGCAGAACTTCCCACTGCTTTCAATGAAACCTATGGTTCAGTATAGCCTGTAATTAGGACAAAGCTCCTGTATGCTGGATAGTTCATAACTGTGGGCAAGATGCCAAGGAAGAAGAACCCTTTATAAAGAATAGGATCCCACTGTGGAACAGGTCACAGGGTTAGTTCCCCAATTTCATGGATCCCATAGGACCTACTTGAGATCAGGTCCATTCATGCACAGTGAATATTCTGGTGACCTTGGGAAGGACAATGAATGTGGAAATTACCCTAAAAACACACATTCCCCAAACCAAATAAAACCAACCCCACATTCCCTTGAACTTTTACTGTTTTTACTTTCCGTGATTTACTGAGAAATGTTAAAGTACTTGATAACAGATGTAAAATTAAACTCTTCCCATGTCATCTGTCTCTACACTGTTTATTTTAAAGATGAGTGTCATCGATTATCTGAAACGACGAGGGGAAAAAAAACAAAACAAAATGTATCCTTTTCCCGAGTAACTTAGTGTGAAGTGGCATCTCACAAGTGTTTGTGTTCAAGTCAAATTGATGTAGTACATGGGAGTGCGAAAGCCGGGTTCAAGCTCTGTGTGTATGTGTGACCATGGTTTGTACAGGGATATTTACTTTTTAATACAATACATATGTAATGCTATTGTTTATTATACAATATGATCCTCCACCGTTGATCTCAGAGGCTAGTCTCCCCTAACTACAAGGACTAGTGTCTATCAGCCTTCATTTATGTTATTACCATTTAAGTAACAGGCTCTGTATCCAGTGAAATTGCAGAGACAAATGCTGCCTGTTGTCATTATTGATGATATATGTCCTTGATACAAGTGCCTGTATCTCAAGGAGAGAACTATTCATCTAATTGTCCAATGCTGACATTCTTTGCACCCTTCATTTTATTTTTGCGTGTTAAGTGGTGGAGTCTCTCAATGAAGATGTAACATTTCAATTACTCCTTTCTTTTCTTCTGTGGATGCCATCGAGTGATAAGAGCTTTGATTATAGA